CAACTCAGGAATAACAGCAGTGATCCAGTAAGTAATTGTATAATTTTTCTGGTAAGTATAGATTGAAAGTGTCTCCGATTCTTTTAAGCACAATCTACAATAATTAGTCATATCTATTTTTTATATATTTATTAACTAGATGATCTGTATATTTAATATCAAACTTTAGCAGAATGAACTTTTTATTAAGTTTTTTTAAAAATTGCGAGTGAATCAACAAGCTTGCTAATTATCCTAACCGTCGAGCGGTTTCAATGAAAATAATAAGTTTGAATTTATTTACGTCGTTATTTTTTTTGCAACTGATATTAAATATTTATTATAGAGCATTAATTTTAGTTTTAATTTGACACAATTGATTTTTTGCACGAATTTTGAAATATATGCGAACGTAGATGGTATCTGTAGTTTAACGTTTTATTTGTTTTTTAGATTTTTAACGAAACGTTGCCCTCGTACAATCTTAGTATATTTCAAAAAAAATTCAAATAAACATCATTGATTATTAATTTATCATATCTACCTAATTTACAAGCTGTTTTCATATTTCTGGTAACTATTGTTAGATAGATGTAACGACAAGGTATGCTTTTATTTATCAGTATTTTTATAGAAAATTTAACGATGTAGGTACCTTCATCATGAGTACCTACCTAATTCATTTTAAAAATAAGCAACTAAAAAACTAGGTATATTTTTAACTTTTTAGTAAACTGTTATTAGTTAAATTGATTAGAAATTAAATTTAAATTAGAATAAGTTTCTTCAACTATACTTTCAGATGTTTTTTCCACTAAAATATTTTTCAAGCTTTCCATTTGTTCTATTAAGATTTTCACGTCATTTTCAATAACCACAAGTCGTTCTCCAATGTCTGGTGTATTTTTATCCTTGCGCTTTGAAAGTGCGACAAGACGCTCATAAGTTGTGTCTTCTAAAGAACATGTTTTTACTGTTCCATTTATCATGCGTAAAATTGGTTCTTTTTTTTGCTCAATTTTATAGAAAATGTGTTTATATTTAAGATCAATGAAAAGATTATCCATTTTATGAAGGAAGATATATCGATTTACAATAAACGTTAAAATTTTCTTTGTCGTTCTCTCTATAAAATTCAAATCATTTTTTCTAGCCCCGTTCTGCTCCAAGTCTCTAGGCCATTTGCTTTCCGATTTTTTAACACCTCTGAGAAAAGTTAATGAGGATTACTTTTACTTAATCAAAACTTAAATACGCACCCAATTTTCCAATATAAATTGCATAATATTTTCTCACAATCAACTGTGCTCCTTATTCTTTGTTTCAAGTTCAAAAACTCAGCATCATCTTTCAGTTTTTGAATGTCAGAAATCGCCAAACCATTGATCAAGTTGTACAAAATAAATGCAGTCAAAACAAAGCATAAAAAAAGAAATTGTTTCCAGAATGAATCTAACTTGTACGGATCGACACTAAAATCACCGGCAAACATTAAAATTGTCTTAATGAAAGATGTAAATGGATGTTCAAAGTTTTTGAAAACAGCTTCACTTGAAGTTAATGTGAGTGTTTGATTGGCGATTACAACTTTCTTCTCTTGAATTGTTTTGATTGGCTTTAAGATGGCGTAGAATGAAAATGTGAAAGCCAAAATGATTAAAATGAAGACTGTGAAAAACTTTAGAAATGTCATTGTAACTTCTTTCAGCATAAACATGTAGATTGAAAAAGTTGCATATGGTAGAATGCTTAAAAGTTCAATAGCTCCTAATAGAATGATGAAAGCAGACGAAACTTGATAGGTATGGTAACTTTTAGTTACTATCGAATATAAGAGACACCAACTTGATGTAATCATTAACATTTCCAACTTGTTACTTTTCTTCTTAAAGTATTCAACTTTGCTGTCGATGATCCAAAAGAATTGAATTGCTTCGCGAAGTGTAAGATAGAAAGTTGCAATAAGCGCTGGCACAAAAATCTTCAACACATGAGAACCGTCTTTAGGATCATAATAGACGAATACCAAAATAAAAGGAATTACATAAAACATGCAAAACATGAAGAGATTCAAGCTGTAGATTAACGAAAATTTATTTGCCTTTAGATTGATGAACGTTGACAATACTGGATGTGTGATGAAGTATCGAAGCTTTTCATTTGACAAAATCCATTCCAATGGTGCCATACCAGCGTTGAAAATTAATTTATGATTATTTTCATCTTTATCCATTGTAATTGGACGAATTTCAGGTGAAATCATAAATGTGTAATCAATTTGTATTCCTCGATCTTCATCATAATCAAGTGTTGATGATTTTACACTCCCATTAACTGTAGTAACACGTGAATCCAAAAACTGTTCAAAAACTTTTCCATTAATCCAATTTCCATCTTTACAAATTTCTTCGTCTTCATATCCAATGTAATATCCTTTCTCAAGAAGCTTCAGCATTGCGTATTCATTATTGATTGCGACATCAATAACTTCGCATGACTTGTTGACATCAACAGAGTAACATCTAATAAGAATTTGCATGGCTTTCTTCATTCCATGATTCAATGCAAAGGTCATAAGCAAATTTGAATCTTCTTGCAGTTTCTGATTAAATTCAATGTGACTATGAGTTTGTCTCATGAAATCAAGATAATCACAAAAACATTCTTCAAACTCGTCTTCGTCGTACTCCTTGAGTGAAATGTAGAGTTTGAAGAAAGGATTGATGTCGCATATGTAATTACGGTAGCAATAATAATCCTTAGAATGAGTTTTCCAATATTTAATCATAATTTTTAAAATTTCATGCTGAATATGTTCTTTCATTGTTAACACCGCATCAATTTGAACTTCTCTTCTAATATCAACAATTTGTTTCATTTCCTTTAATACTTCATGAATTATGACTAAGCATTGATCGAACTTCGCTGGATCTTCAACGATGATCATATATATTCGACTGAATAGAGAAATTCCACAGCAACGCATGAATTGTTCACTCTTGATTTTCAGAAAATAATTTTTGTCACATTTACTGTCATCAATTGTTCGATCTTTTAAATCATGTATTAAAAACATGAACAAGTTCTCGTCACTTTCCGATTCAACGATAAAATCCATTAAAACTTTTCCTTGTTCATTTATCTGTGTGAGAAATCAAATATATCATCAACATGAATCATTTCACTGAAAAAATGTTTAAATGAATTACTGTTGTTAGGTAGCTTGAGTCACGCCAGAAGTCGCACTCACTCCACACAAATGCGATAAAATTTCCACTCTGAGGTTCTTGCATTATCTTCTCGAGCAAGCTAAGATCATTGGATGTTTTACGATAGCAAAGAATTCTTTGCGAAAGTAATTCGTGATAATCAAATGGAGGCTCATGTTTGATTTTACCGTTTTCGAGTTCAGCTTGCATTGCTTGAGTAAAATTCCAAACTAAATTGAAACGCTTGAAAACTTCATTATTTTCTTGCTTTGACATTTTTTTTTCTCTTTTTCTTTTCAATTTCATCCAACTTTTCTTCATCGGACGTTGAAGCAACATCGTGAATTTTTCCAAGTTTTTTGTTGCAAAAGCTTCATTTAATTTTTTCTGATAAAAAAAGAAATTTTTGAAATTGATTTTTTTAGAGCACTTCAACTTACAAGCAAAAGTTTTTCTTCTGCGTTAATGATTCTTGAACAACGAAAGTTATCTGGGACAAAAGCAGAATTATCCATCTTTGATGCCACTTTAATATATTAAATCATTTACTGGTTGAAAATCAACCTAATTGATGTTTTCTCGTCAGCTTCCACTCCAAGACTGATGAATTTTTTTAAAGCTTTTACGTTAATAAATTAATGTTAATTGTGCCAAAATTCTCACAGCTTTAAAGACGATAATTACTAAGCACTGATTCTTCGCAGAAAAAAAAACAATCAAATGTTTTCAGAAATCATAGGTATAGCTTTTAATTGGAAATCATGCTAAGATTATCATCAGTCATAGGGTTGAAAGTCTGTGTGATAAGCTTATTCTCTTAATGAGACATTTGAAACTTTTTTATTACGACATTTTGATCACCTCAGATTCTCTTAATGTAGTCGTTAAATGGTCAGAAAAATAAATTCAGGATAATAATTATCTAGCGTGAATTTTTAGACTAAAAAGCTTTTGCAACGAAAGTAATATAATTGAAAGCGCTCATTAAACGTTGTATTCAAAATACTTCTAAGAAACACCAAAATTTGCTTACAAATTTGGAATAAAGAAAAGTTCAGAGTTACCATTAGAGACTGTGGAAAAAATTCTCTTAGCCAGGATTCTGAAGTTATTGGTGAAAATCGAGAAACTTATTCAAGTTTCTATAGTTGAAAAGAAAGTTTTTAAACTGGAAGAAAAATCTTGAGTCACAACTTACCAGCAAAGGTTTTATAAGATCGCACCCTACTTAAATTGTTCTATTAACTATCTGGTTTATTTATGTTTTTTATTAACAATTGTGTTTATATTATTTATTTTGATGGAAACTTTCTAAGATATCTATTCAATTGATTAGAGTTTAGTTTAGTACCAGTTGAAATAATTTCTCCCCTGTTTTTTAGTTTGTCTTCACGAGCTTGTTCCATTGCTTCAACATGAGCTTTCTTCAATGCATCAATTTCTCTTTTACAATTTGCTTCATCAAATTCATTATCTTTCAAAGCAGCGAAAAGAACAGATAATTCATGAAGGCATGGGACTTTACTTTGAAGTGAATCAGATTTACCAGAAACTAGAAAATAAAGTTAATAAAACAAATTATAAAAGGAATGAATTAAAATTTATTTACCTTGATCTCTTAATGCAATTGGAAGAATTGGTTTGAATGGTATTCGGTTAGTATTCTGAGGAGCACGCGCATGCATGTAGACTGGCCTTCTATATTGCCTGAAGAGGCAGCTGTAAGTTCTCATATTAATATAATTTTTATTGAAAAATTTGAGGGTATCAGTGCGCTAGATTCTTTATGAAATTGCAACACTTGCGCTATATTTTGTTAGAAACTGTAATACTTTAGATGCTCGTTACCAGGTGGCATCTGAGTCGCAGAAATTTCCCGCGAGTTAAGCAATCAATTTAGTTCAAATAATTTTGCTTCTCAAAATGTCATTCAAAAGATCCACTAAAAGATACGCTCATGTTCATAGTTATACGTTTGTTTGCTACTCTGAAGATGGCGAGTAAGTTGATATGCTTTTTGCCCCATACTTTAATAAATTTGTAATGTTTTAATTTTTTTGATTATTCACAGACAAATAATCACCAGTGGATCTCAAGATGGTGATATAAGAATCTGGAAAGAAATCAGCGATGATGACCCTACAAGTTTTTGCATAGGTGAAACAGCTACATGTTGCGCATATTATACTCATGAAAAACATCAACGATTAATTGCCGCCACCGATAACAATTCAGTTCAATGTTTTTCATTTCCATCCGGAGAACGAGATGGATTATTATTCCGATTTACAGCACCAGTTACATCTATTAAAGTAAATCATAAGGTAAATACGGATATGTATACAGAAAATAGATTACTTATTTTTTTTAATATGAAAATTGTTTTACAGTGGATCGCAGCTGGATCAGAAGATTTCTCAATCAAAGCACAAAAACGTGGAACAACTGACGAATTAATTGAATTAAAGGGTCATTATGGAACTATTCTTCAAATGGATATAAGCTCCACAAATCTTCTTGCTTCATCTTCTGGTAAATAATAATAATAATTATAAAGAAAAAAAAGAGTAATTTTTAATTAAATTATTCTAATAGGTGATGGTACGATAATTATTTGGAACTTGGAAGAATCAGGAGCTATAGTTAAAAAATTTGAAGGATTTGAGATAATCAAAGAATTTTCATCTGCTAAGTTATTCTCAACACCATCATTTGACCCAAAAGGAAGTCTGTTAGCCTTCCCGAAGGATTTTTTCATTCATGTCGTTGACGTTTCAACTTGGGATATCAAATTTAAACTTGAAAACACTTTCATAACTGAGAAATATTCTGTTTGTAACATTTCAACCTGTGGATCGTTTTTAGCTGCAGGATCTGTAACAGGAGAAATATCAGTTTGGAATCTTGTAGATAGATCAGCATTAAAAGGAGAATATAGTGGAGAAGACATTCATGGCATTACTTCCATCGCTTGGAATCCCAGTAAAAGAGGAGAATTCGCTTTTTGTGACGCTGATGGTCAGTTAAGTACAATCTTAACAGGCGTTTCAAGCAATCCAAATGGACTTGAAGATCACGACTTTCCTGTGAATGACGACGAAGATCTTTACGGTGGACTTCAATTTGATGGCGGAAGTGATGATGAAGAAAATATCAATTGTGTATCACTTGAAAAGCTTAAAACTCACACATTAAAGAATGAAAGCGATTCAGAAGATGATGATGACGCGAAAACAGTAAGAACTTTATTGTCAACTGGTACACATTCGGAACAAATTGTTATGCCAAAACCATTCGAACTTCAACCTTCATTTCAACCAGGATCAACTCCATCTTATTTGGAACATCGCTTTATGGTTTGGAATCATGTTGGTCAAGTAATTGCTCATTCATCAGAAGAAAATTCCATCATAACTGAGTTTCATGATGTAACAATTCATCCAAGTTTGCATATTCTCAACACATTGAATCATGAAATGGCAAGTTTAAGTGAAACATGTCTACTTTTAGCTACAAAAGATACTCCATGTCGTTTAGTTTGTATTGCATTTGTGTCAGCTGGAGGTAAGGAATGGTCAACAACAATGCCGGAATGTGAAGAAATTTATGGAATTGCTGCTGGAAGAAAGTTTGTTGCTGTTGCTACTGATGCAGGATTCATTCGATTATTTACAACGATGGGAACTCAACGTGAAGTCATTTCTGTTCCTGGTCATACCGTTGCACTTTCTGCTTACGAAAACAAACTCGTTGTTGTTTATCACTCTTCAAACACACGTAATAAGTTTTCTTTAATGATCGTCACAATATTGGAACCATCAGTTTCTAATCGATTTGTTGAAGTGCCTTTAACGACAGATGCAAAATTATCATGGATTGGATTCAGTGACATGGGCTCAATTATTGTTTATGATTCAACCAAACGGGTCATAAGTTATGATATAAAAAAGAATCTTTGGTTTCCAATTTGTGATATGAATGAGCATGTCACCGGTGGTTCAGATTCATTTTTCATTATCAGTGTGAGTGAGAAGAATCAAAAAATTCGAGCAACATTATGTCGTGGATTAAATTATCCTTTAACATCCCCACGTCCAATAGTTCGTGAAATTGATTATTCCCTTCCTTTGTGTTATATGGAAACAGAAAAAAGTAAACTTGAGGAAGGACTCATCAGAGCTACAACCTTCCAAATGGAATTAGCTGAGAAAATAGTTGTTGAAAAAGGATTAAAACTCTTCAGTTCTGCTATAAACTCAGAATTAGAGTCACGGGCTTATGAGATAGTCGAACTTCTTGGAAATAAAACGCTTATTGAGCTCGCTTCAAAATATGCAAGTCAAAAAGGAAGAATTCATATGGCAAATAAGATTACAAAGTTATTATTTGATTACGAAGAAAAAGAGATGAAAAAAATTGAACAACTTAATGAGATTGAAAAGGAAGTGGAAAGTTTTAATGAAACTTACGAAAGACAATCAAAGATAGCTTCAGAAATTACTTTGAAAGATACTTCAACGCCAATTATTGCTCCGAAACCAATGATAAGTCAAAAGAAGTCATCGAATCCTTTTAAGAAATTTGGAAGTTTAAACAAGAATTCATCAGCAAGTTCGTTGACTCATTTAACAAAGAAATCGATTGGTCTAAATGATTGTGAAAAAAATTCTGATGATGAAAATACGCCATCAAATAATGTTTCAAAAATCAATCGTTCAACAACTGTAGACACACCACGTCCAGGAAACTTCATGCAATGGTACATCGCTAATAAATCTGATTTAAAAGCAAATAATTCCACTGCATCTGACGTTGAGCTCCTGAAAATTGGAAAAAATCTTTACAAAGAGCTGACACAGAAACAAAAATCTCCGGAAGAGGAAAACAACGACACTAAGAATCAAACATTGCAAATGAACAAACGCAAGTTAAATTTGAATGATAGTGAGGGTGGAATATCAAAATTAGCTAAGTATGGATTTATTCAAGATTAATTTAATTTATTTCGTCTTATTTTCGTTTCTTTGTTTATTAAATGATATTTTACAAAGAATATTTCCTTCAACAAAGGATTTCTTGTATGATCAATAAATCTTTAAATACTTTCAAGTTTAATTTTCAATTCTTTCATGCTAGAAATGTAAAAGTCAGGAATTAGCTTTTTAGTATCTTCAGTTGAATCTTTGCCATTATTGATTTTATCAATAATTTGTTGAACGTCAGTCATATTATGAACTCCAGTTCCGACTAGAATTGTTTGATAATTGTTGTTATTTCCGTACATGATGTCAGTGTTAAGACGATCACCAACAACAAGAAATCTCTTTGGTTCACGATGAGCCTCATCTTTTAAAGTGACATCACTAAGAATCTTCGAAGGTTTTCCAATGACAATAGGGTCAATCTTAGTGATGTTTTTTATGCCAGCTACAATTGCACCAGCATCAGGGAATGTAAAAAAAGGAAAATCTATACTTTCATCGGTGTTGGTTGCTAAAAATTTCACATTTTCGTTCCGCAAATAATTGACAGCTTTAAATAACTTTGGAAATGAGTAATGGTGATCAAAACCAACAACAACAGCACCCACTTCATCGTCCATTTGTCCCAGATCGTTTTTAACTTGATCCGGTAGCGAATCAATAGCTACATCTGGACCTCTTCCGATTACTGTTAATCCAACGGATTCTAACTCATTGGCTAGAACGTTTGATCCAATCACATAAACTTTCTTATTAAATTTGATATGCTTCATATATTGGCCCATTGCAAACGCTGATGAAATCATATTTTCCTTAAATATTAAAATGCTTATTGAAAATACTTATCTATATGAAAATTTCAAAAATTATGAAATTAAAAAATGAACTCACAATTTCAAGTTTGAAGTTATTCGCCTGACATTTTTCTCGCATTTCTTGGCGAGATGCCATGTTATTGTTTGTTATAAGATAAACTTTCTTTCCCAAGTCAGTAAGTTTATTGACAACATCTGAAGCACCTTCATAAATGTCGTTGTGAAGCCATAAGACTCCTTAATAATTAAAGACATTTATTTTTCTATTTTTCTTTTACTATTAAGACAATTTCAGTAACTCACCATCGCAATCGCAAAGAACAACATCGAAGGAATTGATCCAAGCTTTAAATGTTGTTCTGTCATAGCTACTGATATCTGCTGGTAGTTGAATACTCATTTTATGAACTTTGATCGTTGACGCCTGTTTTATAAATAAGTTTATGCACTCAGAAGTTTTTCGAAAATCCGAACATTGAACTATGATATTGATTAATTTATATTTTTTTCTTCTTGATAAACCAAATGTTATATACAGTGTTAGATATGTATGAATATGTATGAACATAGGAATATATTTAAACAACGTCACTCCAATTATCTCTAGTACTTGGGATTATATAATAAAATAATTTCATTGAACAATATTACAATATTTATTAAAAACGATTAACTTATAGTAAATTGTCGCTTTATGTAAGTTTGCATGTGCTTACATGTGACGGAATATGAGAAAACGATAAAATCTTTAAATTAACTGTAACGGCTGAAATAATTTTAAAAAATTACTCTGTTTAATCCTATCAACTTAATCTGTAAATAAATAAAAACGGCGGAAAGCTTTCTATCTATCTTGGGCAGGCATTTTCAGAATATAAAATATAATGAAGTTTGTAAGTATTTAGATATATTGTAATAAGTTGCATCGAATATTTCCTAACAAACCTTTTACAGTACTGTTTAAGTAACGACCCAGTTCACTCATGTTTTGTGGTGACATTCAAAGAATTGACAATAATGTTGGATTGCGGTAAAAACAATTTGTTTCTGTTAATAATGACTAATATAAATATCCAGTTTGTTTCTGTTAATAAACAACTAAAATTAATCTATTTTTTTCTCTTATTAGGACTCGTGATGGAACCTATTCTCAACTTTTTACCTTTACCATTAGTTCAAAGTTCAAAATTCAGCTCATGCCCCAACTGGATCCATCCAAGAGTGAATGAAAGTCAACTTGATGGTGAACTTAAAAAAACTGGAAATCATGTGTTTATTGACTCTCCACCGGAATTTCAACCGCCATTAGAGAAAATAGTTGACTTTTCTGAAATTGACGTAATTTTGATATCAAACTACATGAATATGCTTGCACTTCCTTACATCACTGAAAGAACAAATTTCAAAGGAGTCGTTTATGCTACAGAGCCGACACTTCAAATTGCTAAATTCTATCTCGAAGAGCTTGTTGAATACATAGAAATTGCACCAAAGGCAAATAAAGCTTGTAAATGGAAAGAGTTTCGAGAACTACACAACTTAAACAATCTGAACCTTGAATTGAGTCCATGGAAATGGAAAAAACTGTTTGACATTGATGATGTACATAAATCATTATCGAGAGTTCATATTGCTGGGTTTGATCAAAAGATTGATGTATACGGCGCTTTGGAAGTTTCGCCAATATCTTCAGGTTTTTGTTTAGGATCAGCAAATTGGATTTTATCAACAGAAATGGAAAAAATTAGTTACATCAGTGGATCATCAACATTAACAACACAAGCAAAACCAATAAATCAAAATTCATTAAAGAATTCTGATGTTGTCATAATGTCGGGACTAACTCAAGCTCCTCATATCAATCCCGATGCTATTCTTGGGGACTTGTGTATGAATGTTGTGTTAACATTAAGAAATAATGGAACAGTTTTGATTCCATGCTATCCATCTGGCGTTATTTACGATCTATTTGAAATTTTATCACAAAGACTTGATGAAAGTGGACTAACAACAATCCCAATGTTCTTCATATCACCAGTTGCAGAGCATTCTCTTGCTTATTCAAACATCTTAGCTGAATGGCTTTCCAGTACCAAGCAGAACAAAGTTTATATTCCTGACGAGCCATTTCCGCATGCAAACCTTGTGAAAAATGCGAGACTCAAATTCTTCAAGCACATTTTCTCTGAAGGTTTCAGTTCCGAATTCCGACAACCTTGTGTTATATTTTGTGGACATCCCAGCTTAAGATTTGGCGATATTGTTCATCTTATTGAACTGTATGGGTCAAATCCCAATCACACGATCATTTTCACTGAACCTGACTTCCCATTTTTACAAGCTCTTGCTCCTTTTAATCCACTTCAAATGAAAGTTGTTTATTGTCCAATTGAAACTTCATTGAATTTTCAACAAGCAAATAAGATGATAAAAGATTTAAAGCCAGAAGTTTTAGTTATTCCTAAAGTTTATACTCATCCACCACTTGTGGCACCTCATCGAGAAGATCTTGTAATTGATCGATTGATTGTGAGTAAAGAAATTTTTCTTCTAGTTCTTTTCGTTGTGAGTTAATAAATTTCTATTAATAGGCAAAACAAATAATAACATTTAAATGTGGTGAATGCATTAAACTTCCACTTAAAAGAAAGAAGAGCCAAGTCTTCCTTGATCCAGAAGTTGCATTAAATCTCATTCCACAAGAAATCCAAACTGGAGTTAAAGTCGCACCAATTTCCGGTTTACTTGATGTTAGAGATAATGTTCATAATATTAGAAAGTGTGATGAAGTTGTGGAAGGCGTTCCTAAGCAGCTTGTTAGTAGTTTATTCAAAAAGAACGCCACTTATGAATATGGTTCGATGGGACCAATGGATATTGACTTGTTCTTAAAGAAACTGAAACAAGATGGGATAAGCGATGTAAAATTAACACAGACGAGTGAAACTGATGGTGTTTTAACAAAGATTAAATTAGTGAACGAAGAAATCGAAATCAACATTTCAGAGAAAGGAACTCACATCATTTGTGAAGGCAAACAAAGTTGGAGATTACAAATTCGAGATGTTCTCATGTCGTGTATGAATAGATTTTAATTAAAATATTTTTTAATATAAAGAAAACATTGAAAAACTCGAAAATTTTCACCAACTGGTCGCATGGTCAATTGAGTAATATTAACATTTGGTGGTTGTTTGAGAAGATATTGAACTACATCTGAAATTATTTCTGACTTTATATGGGGCAATAGCTCAATGTCTTGGAACTTCTGAAAGTGCTGTTAAAGCGAATTTTGTAGCTGCATAAACATTCAAGGATTCTTCTTCGAAACTTGGTAAGTAATGCCCACAAATGTCATTGATGTTTATGACCGTTCCGTAATCTCCTGAGAGTTTTATCAATCGCACTGCTTCTCTTGTACAAAATATAACTCCAGTGAAATTTGTGTTAATAGTTTCAGCCAATTTCTCTGTTACATCATCACCTTCATCAAGAATTAACAATACCAGCATTGTTAATTAAAATGTTGATTGCCCCAAATGTTTCCTCAATCCACTTAAAAGTTTCTTTTACTGATTTTACATCTGACACATCACATGCTTTCGCATATACAATTCCTAAAACTTCACCGAGAGAACTTGTAAATTTCTCAACTTGCAAATTTCTCAATTTTTTCACTTCGTCTTGCAGTTCCAATTACGTTTATTCCTAACTTAGTGAAATCTTTTGTTAAAGCTTCACCAATTCCAGCTTATGCACCAGTTACAACAGCTACTTTTCCAACCCACTTCTCCATGATCAAAGATTTCTTGGATAGTTAACAATAAATGTCGAGGAAAATTGTGACAGAAATTTTTTTTTTATCTTTTTTTTTTGATAACTCGATTTTAGATTTTGGTTTCGGATTTTTAATTCTTCTTCTTTTCGAATTTTATCATAAAAAATTGAATTATTTATTTATTAAAAAATATTTATTCAGTGATTTAAAATATCGAGAGTAGGAATGTTAAGTAAACAGATTTTAATTAGATGTTTTATGGAAGCGCTTTGCTTGTTGCTCTAACTTTTCGAGTTCAGCTTTCTTTTGTTGAATAACTTTCTCTAATTTTTGGTGTTCCATTAGATCTTTCTTGCTTATGGTTGATAAGTCGATTTCGTCATTTTCTACTTTAACTTCTCGTGTACAATAAGCGTATCCAAAAAATCCAAAGAATATTAAAATTATTATCGATTTGATAGAAAAGATTCCATCAGCATCATCAATAGGGATTTCCACGTCCATAGCGAGGTTTTAATTTAAAATTTTGGAGAAAATATCAAAATGATCGAGTTAAAGAAAATTTCCTGATGACATTCAGTGATATTGAAATTTTTATTATCTAAGCTTACTCAGATGTTAGTATCAAAATCTTGTAACGTTTGAAAAACATAATAAAAAGAAGAAGAATTGAAACATTTCTCTGAAATCATTCTCATCATACAGAAGAAACGAAACAAATTCAAGCTAAACATAACTTTTTAATGATTAATGTTTATGTGAAAATCTCTTCAACTGAATGCATGTATTTACAATTCACATGAGAGAGAAACTTTCAAACATCTCGCAATCGGCATTTTTGTCGCTTCTGAACTCAATCACATTAATTTTTTTAATTAGAATAGCACAATAACATTTGTTTCCGGACATATTTTTATAAAATTAAAAATATTTTTCAGAATGACCTCACTTTTGATTGAAACAATCGTACGAACATCTATATACAAAATTATTAATTTACACAAAGTTGAGAACATAAAGAAGATGGTCATCCTTTTAGAAATAAAGCAAGATCAGCAACATCTGGTGTTTCTTATAATGTGTTGGTTTGAAAATCACTGGAATACGAGACACAGACAAATCAAATTTCAGTTCGTCTTTTAAGTTTGTCAAGGAAAGTTGTGTGAAGCCAGCATAAGAAAGTGAAGATGTGAGGTCATTTTTGCATAGGAACAACTGAATACTTTGTGATAAATTTTAAACCATTTTACAGGAAACATTTAGTAAAGATATGTATTGCATTGGCAATTTTCATTCATCAGTATGACGCGATTGTCTTCGATTGCTTGTACTCGATGGAAGACTGGGTCATTCTTGATAAGGTTTACGGATGTACAGTCAAAAATTTAAAGATTCAGAAAGGGGATACGTCAGTCATTGCCGTTACGAAAGATCATTTGAAAGGAAAAACTAGCAAAGATGTTGAAACTTTGAATATCGAAAATTCTACTTGCACAACTATCCCGAAGAATATCGAGAAATCTTTACCAAACTTGAAAGGTTTGAGAATCGCTCAAGCAAGATTACAATCAATCGAAAGTGATGACTTGAAACCATTTCCTGCCTTGAGAATATTATGTTTGTGGGCAAATCAATTACAAACACTCGATGGGAATCTTCTCATTAATAATCCTAAATTGGAGTTCTTAAACTTCGGTTCGAACCACATCCGACACGTTGGCCCCAATTTCCTTGATCATACCAAAAATTTAATCGCCGTTTACTTTGAAGAAAACACCTGCACGAATCACACTAATCAGTTCGCAATTGACGAATTGAAACACGAGCTTGCTGTGAAATGTCCACCATCATTTCAAATGGTTGAAATTGCCTTGATTAATAGTGGAAAGTTGGCGACAAAAAACGATGATTTCGAGAACAAAATTAAATTGTTGGAGGACAGAATCAGTGAATTAGAGCAACACGCTAGGAAATAAGTTAAAGGACTTTTTAATCTTTTCTCAATTGTAATGATGATCTTTTTTCATTCTAATGAAATAAAATTCATATTCGTTCTTTCAACGACAAAAGTTTCATAAATTTTTGCTTAATCTTGCTGACTTTTGACTTTAATTTTCAATACTCTATGTAGCAGAACGTTCAGTTTTTGTCGTGTTAGATAAGTGATATAGATTTTTAAACAACGGATAATTTAGATTGAGTTTCACTGAATAAATCATAATTAATCTGAATCTGAATCTTAATTAATTCTTTCTTCCCGTTTTGTTAAATAATGCAAGATTGAGATGTGTGGAGGTTTTCCAATTTCAAATTGCTGCATAAGATTCAAACAGATGAAAATCAATCTGAAACAACAAGATTCTTACAAAAATAGTTTTTATTCTCTTAAAATCGTTTCTCTCTTCATTTGAACATCTAAATACCTAGTACTCAAATTTACACATATATGTAGCTGGATATATGTAGATACATATAGCGTGTAAATTTTAAATGAAATGAATGAAAGAATTTGTTTATGTCTAATAAGGAAGTTTCGCTATCTTCATTCTTATGAATTAATAAAAATAAATTAAAATCTCTTAAAAGAAGAATGAATTTATGTTTTAAAATTATTTATCTAAACCATCTCCTAACCTCTTGTCACCTTTTATTTAAAAAGAAACTGCAAATCTTCAACCACTTTACAGTTGCAAGTCATTTTAGAGAACGTGACGTCAAATAATGATACATAAATAAGTGAGAGATAAGTATAATAGTATCTTCTAAGTCATTCATCATCAGAGCTTTGGTAGTACAAATAAAGTGTCGAGATAAAGGTCTTTGCTCCATCAAAATTCTCGATTATCTCTCAGTTATACAGATTCAGTAGTTGGACGAACAATGTCACTTAGAATTACGTTTCACGTTGTAAAGCTTCTGGTTTTAAGTTTTTTAATCAACTGCAGCTACCAACATAAAAACGAAGTCAATGTTTTTAATCAAAGTAGCGAAATAATTACACCATTAAACAGACAAAATGTGTCAAAATTTTTCGTCAAAAAGTTGATGCAAAAATTTGGTAACCACACATCCATGAACATTGAAGAATTTGAATTGATGTTAAAAGTTTTGCAATCAAGTTTCGTGACTGAAAGCTCAAATTCGCTATGCATTGATGGTCTGAAATTTTTGAATTCAGTTGAGAATCAAAAAGAAGTCAACATAACGAATGATTTTAGTATAGACGAAGAACATTTATTCACAGTATGTCCAATTCTTGTACATCATATAATTGATCAAAAGCCTTTCGGCTATGAAGCTTCTTGCATCGAAGAATTAGAAGAAACTTCAGAAATTGAATCACGAAGTTCCGTTTGGTTTTATTCAACCCTCGCTATCATTGGCATCAGTTTATGTGGACTTAGTGGTGTTGCTGTTATTCCAATTGTAGATAAAAATTATTATTTTTATGTGTTGCAATTTTTCATGGCATTAGCAGTTGGAACTTTAACTGGTGACGCTTTACTTCATCTTCTCCCACACGCAATGCGACCTTCAAGTGACGACATGAGTTCGTCTGAATTGATTGAAATGATGATGCATCGGGGAATCGCTGCCTTATTTGGAATCATTTTATTTTGTTTCATTGAACGTATTCTAAATATGATAACATCATACAAAGATCATAAGAAACTTCCACAACATAAGGCACATAATGAAGAGAATGATTCATTGCAGAAACAATCAAATCATCACGGTCATAGCCATGGATTCAAAAGTATTCAAAAAAAATCTTTATCATCGATTGTTTGGATGGTAATTCTTGGCGATGGTTTGCATAATTTCACTGATGGAATGGCAATAGGAGCAGCTTTTTCAAATAATATCGCTGGAGGGTTCTCAACAACTCTTGCAGTTTTCTGCCATGAATTACCACATGAAATGGGAGATTTTGCAGTGCTTCTTAAAGCTGGAATGCCAGCACGTCAAGCAATTTATTATAATATTCTAAGTTCAGTTCTAAGTTTTTTTGGAATGTGTTTTGGAATATTAATTGGTGAAACTCCTGAAACGACCCAATGGGTGTTTGCGGTTGCTGCTGGTTTATTCATCTACATAGCTTTGGTTGACATGGTGAGTTTTATAATATTCAAATTCATGTTAAAATCATTTTCATTTATTTATTTTAGATGCCAGAACTATCAGCACCAAAAACCAAAGATGAAAACTTTTCAATTATTCAATTTGTACTTCAATTAAGTGGCATGTTAAGCGGCTTTGGAGCGATGTTATTGATTGCGATTTACGAAGAGAAGTTGGAAACACTTTTCACGGCTTAATGTTATTATTTTGTCTTTTTAAAATAAATTTGAATATTTTTCTAATTTAGGTACCTAATTTCTTTAAAATAAACAAATATTTAATGCAATTTTCGTTGAATTTAAACTCATGTTATAAACGTGCAACTGTAATCCATTGCAACCCAACTATACATTCAACTATAAGTTTACAATGAAGTTTTCCTTCACTGCTAATTGTGCTGCATTAAAAGCTCACAAACAACATATAAAAATAGAAGCAGATTTTGCTTTTATTTCTTTTTCAGCTCATTTCTTTGATTTGATATAATTTTTAATTAAACTTAGGAGTAGTGAAACGAAACTAATCACAACAAAAAAAATCGACACAATCTTCTGTTTCAAGTTCATATACTCGTGAACAATGATTATGAGCTCAATAAAATATTTTATAAACCTGACATTCCTTCTAAACGAGTTCTATATGAAAAAATAAACGCTACAGGAAAAATTTTTGTGTGATGTAATAAGATGTAATAATAATTGGAAGTTCTACAATATCATGTTTAGTTTAAAAATATGTGATTTGCTGGTACTTGATTGAATAAAGTATTTGCAACTGCTTTGAATTTTTCTCCAAAACTTTTTTCATAATCTGGAATAATTCCAAAGAAAACAGGCTCCCAATTAGAATTCATAAAATTATTGATAGTGTCACCAAGAAGCTTGTCACCGTTGAAAAGATTATCAAATATGAAAGTCACCCATTTTGGCAAGAATTTAATTTTATAACTTGTTATCTTTATGTAAGTTTGGTTGTCTTTTCCTTCATAATAATCACCGTGAATTTCGTGTTTTGTTATAAGTTCGTTCATCGATACATTACTAAATCCTTCACCACTTATGGGAAACAATAAAATCTGCCCTGTCATCTTATAATCTCCAACGAAATCTAATCTCTTTGTAAATGCTTCAGCTTTCATTGAGAAATTTTTAAATTTTGCTGATGTTTTCTTAACATTTGATGTCGTAAGTCCATGAATTTTAGCATTTTTGAAGGTTGATTGCATGTTAAAAGCATTCGATTTCTGATTGTGATCGATTCCTACAGAACTTATTTCCATTGGTTCAATTGGAGGGATATTTAATGAAGGAACACCTGACACGAATAATTTTAAAACAAATGAACAACATCTACTTGCTTCTAACTATTTATGAGCATATCTACCATTCTTTAATATCGATAATGATTCCTGAATAGCATTCATTAGACATTCATTAACGTTTTGATCACTTTTTCTGCATCTTTCAAATCATTTAGCTGATCAAAGGAACGAATCATTTTTTAAACACTTTGAATTTATTTAAAAAAATTTATTATCATTTCTTACGCAATTCTTTTGCTGCTCTGACATTCAATGTCATCATATAAATCAAGAGTGTTATCACAACAATTCTTAAAAACCCTTTGTCTTCCATTTCAAAACTTATTTAAATTATTAAATGATCGAAAATTTCACAAAACTTTGAAAAAGCACAAATTTTACTAGTAGCATGAGTTGAACAATTTCAACTAAATCTTTTACAGATTTTTCCTTCATTTATATACTTACGAACACTTTAAAACATACCAATTTTACTGTTAATATGGATTTATGCGATGCAATTATTGAGTTTAGATCTTCAATCTTAGAATGACTGAAAGGTTAATGAATAAAAATCTACGAATGTTAAAAAGAAAATTTTTAAAGGATGAAATATCTTTTAGTATATTTACTTTGCTTAAAAATTTCCACAGATTTTTCATAAATTTTGAATTTCAGTCTTACAAAGTTAGCCGGTATTCGTCACATGTAAGGTATACAAAACATAAAGTTTTCATTGTTAAGGTCTAAATAAATATTTCTATTAGATTATTTATAAATTAAATAAAAAAAATACAAACTATGTACATGTACACCCAAGCCCATAATGGTAAATAAATATAAAAATAGATAATTGAGAGAAAATTAAAAGTAACACACTGTCAGATCGTTATTCAATGTTCTTGACATACAAAACATTAGTTTATCTAATTGGAAATATTTATAATTACATTTTTTATTGTACATTAGATTGCATATAGAATTAATGTTGTGAGACTGTCTCAGGACATATCAATTAAAATTATTATAGCTTCTTCAATATTTAAACTTTTGGTGTGTTAAGGCGAGAGTATTTTCTGGCGTGAATCGAATATTTCTTAATTGTATTTCATTTTGTGATGACTTAAAATAATCTGAAGATGAAACTTTATCATCTTTCATTTTTGTTGCTTTTTTGGTTCCTACACTTCTTGAAGGATTTTCTGTTCGCAGGTTTTCAAGGAGCATAGTTTCGTTTAATATAAATTTTTGTTGTGATTTCAACAAATCTTTTTCCATTTCCTTCGCCCGTTTAATTCTTAGTTGGTTTTGAAAACTCATACAATCTGCAGCATTCATCTTTCGAAACTTATTTAATTCCATAATCACCTTTAATTCACTTTCTACTTTAATTTTATCAGCAGTTATTATTGAAGATTCACCACCAACTTGGATTTCACTCCACATTTCGCTTAATTTCTTTTCGTAATCTTGAAACATTTTTCGACGTGGTGTTAGTTCCAAATGCTCGATTATAAATTTTTGTATTTCCTTTTCAGCTTCATTAAATTGTTGTTTATCTAATTCTTGTTTATCGTCTTCAAAATGATTTTGCACTGGCCTAAAAAACATTGCTCAAGTCATTGACGTGTTATTTACGCAGATAAATATTAGAAAATTAAATGTTTGTTACTGCATGTTACTATGGAAATATTTTCTATAATTAGATGTCTATGTTCGTTAACGTCTTGAATTTATGCATAATTTTATACAATCTACATGCATGATTAGAGACGTAACAATATGAATTAAATTATTTAGGTGATTGCATTTGTGTGAAATGAAGAGTAAGTCATAACATTAAAAAATAATAATAAGTTTTTGTCTGCTATTAAATTCTTCCAAAAATATTGTATCTAGTACGATTTAATTAAGCAAAAAATCGAAAAATAAGAAGACAAGAATAAGAAAGAACATTTAAATATTTTAACTTCAGACTTTTATTGGTGAATGACTTCTGGTTTTGTTTATGTAAATATGTGATAGAAGATTGACAAAAAATTGATTATAAATCATAATGTATAAATTGAAGTTAATCATACATAATGATTTGTTGTGCCATGTAATTAAGAAGGGCTTCTAAGCGTTTCTTGATCCGCTTTTGATCATCGAGAGTGCAGCCCAAAAGATGTCCTTCAAACTTTTTATCAATGAATGTGACTGTAGTAGATTCAATACTTGAGAAACTCATAGTGTATTGGAAATCATTAGAGCTGCATGCGTTCAAATATTCTTGACATTTTTTTCTTTTAACAATTGGATCGCCAAACTTGATAATTTCATCTATGAGGTGATTAATAACATTAAGAGAATCAATTTGAGAATGGTCACGAACAGTTTGGACATTAATGTCAACAGTCTAAAGAAAAACAATAAACATTATTACTATCATATACATATAATTTTTCTTACTTGCAATCGTTCATTGATTCTCTGTAAATGTAGATTTATTTCTTCTTGATCGGCTTCCTTGAGATTTGACAGGACATCAGTGTTTTTGAGCATATCAATTCGTGTCAATAATATGTCACGTTCTTCTTGCAGTTTCATAGCTTCTTTTCGAAGAGCTTCGACACGGTTATCAATGCCGTCAAGAAACGTAACAAGTTCATCTCTAAAAAAGAAAAAGTAACATAAAAACGGAACCAATTCTTTGCATAACTTTTTTCAATTTAGCTTGAAATTGTTAAGAATAAATATTTTTTAAATATAATTTCCAGGCACCTTCCCATTGCCTCAATGCTCTTCTTATTGTACTCAACAGTTGGTATATCATCGCCCATTCTATCGGTGTCTACAGAATTTTCTGGAGTTTCATCGATATCCATTTTAAAGTTCACTGAAAAGAAATTGACAAATATCAAAATAAGGTAATTGTTTGTAAATTACCTAGACGACGATTGATACATAAGCTTAGCGCGTTTGTGTACAGAAAACAGTTCCATTGAGGAAAAAATATTTTACTTAAAATATAATTTTCTTCTTTAAGTAAAAAAATTACAGTGTTTTCCTAATCTACCGTGAATGTACGATTATTTATAGGTGTAAACCTCATTACATTTTACTTTCAGATTTAATTTTTAAGGCTATGCAGCTTCCAAACTACAAATCTACACGATTTTTCATCTTTAGACCAAGCTTCTAGAATATTAACTTACCTCCAGAGGTAAGTGTAGTTGAGCATCCTGAAAAGTTTCAAAAATAACAACAAAATCTTTTTTACAACCACCAATTTGTTTTCAAAGGATTTTATGAATCTATACTACAAGTGTTTATAATTTATATTTAAAAATAGACAATGACAGAAACGCAGATTATGAAAGTATTGCGAATGATTAAAATCAGTTGATTGAATTGAAAATAATTGAGAGAATTATATAGCCGGCTATTGTTGAGAAAAATTATGATTATGCTCAATATTTGAGTGTAAAGTATAATGTACAGTGAACTCTCGTTATAATTAACATTTCGAAAATTATTTCGAAAAAAACGGGAACAAAATTCTCTCGTTATTATAATATAATTTTTCTCTCGTTATACCTACCTAATTCTTTTTTTTCCAGTCCCTTCGAAAATATTTTGGAAAAAATTATAACGAGAGTTTACTGTATTCAGTTAATAGTCAGTAAAAGTTTTGTTTTGACTTGCGTTGAAACGCAATAAAATTTTCCACTTTCTTTAAGCTGCAGACTAAGTAATATATACCTATATCTAATATAATGGCTCTTCGAGGAGCATCAAAATTGTTTGCATTGAGACGAATTCAAAGTGTACCCGTTGCTCTTTATCATGAAAATGTAAGTATCTACCTATATATACGAGAAAAGAATTCGCTTCTAATAAATAATATTATGAAATTCTGAATTTTGCAGGTTTTAGAGCATTACGAGAATCCAAGAAACGTTGGCTCACTTGATAAGAAAGAAAAAAATGTTGGTACAGGTCTTGTTGGTGCACCTGCATGTGGAGATGTCATGAAACTTCAGATCAAGGTTGACGACGACGGAAAAATCATTGATGCAAAATTTAAGACATTCGGCTGTGGATCTGCAATTGCTTCAAGCTCTTTGGCAACAGAATGGGTTAAGGGAAAAACTTTAGATGAAGCCGGAAAATTAAAGAATACGGACATTGCTAAGGAACTTTGCCTTCCACCAGTTAAATTGCATTGTTCAAGTAAGTGAATATTTCTAGAAATTTCTAAATAGAATTCCTTATCGAATACAATCTTTTAGTGTTGGCCGAAGACGCAATAAAAGCAGCATTAGCCGATTACAAGAAGAAACAATCACCAAAGGATGTTTGAAATGTCCAAATAGAATAATTTTCGTTCAATTACGCTGATACTTAAGTATTTCAGGGATTGATGTTTGGCAACAAAAATAATTTTTCTTTAGACTGTGTATGAAATGAAATTAGTGAAATCACACAAGTTGCTGATTTCAAACAAAACTAAATAAAAATATAAAACAGCGCAAAGCGCATTGTGAGGAGAATTTGCTTTGTTTATTAACAAATTGTTTTCATCATTGTAGTTATCGAAAATTTTTCTCGTCCATTGTTATCATTGTGAGTTTGTTTTAAATGTGTTCATGAACCATGAAGGTGATGATATTTCAGAACATTTCATTACAAGCGAACTGGAGCTTTTCCTGGACATTCGCCATCGCTTTTACGCGTGTATGCTGTTAAAATAGTAAATGCCTTTAATGAAAATCGCTTGAATCGTGATATCAACTCACCTCTGTCTTTATGTTGACAATTGTAGTTTGCTAAGACGCATGAATTTCCAAATGTGATGTCAGCTCCTTTACCCTGAGCAATTTGTGCTTAAGTAATTGAATGATAAAATAGATTTACAAATAAAGCAAATAAACGATACGACATAAACTTGATATTACCGCAAATGGGCGTGTAGTCAGCAGTACATACTGTTTGACATGAATCCTTCTTTGCTGGGCTGGTATTTGTAAGTGTGGCAATGAAGACCACTGAAATCAGTTGAATGTAAAAACTTTGTCATAATATTTAGACAAGATATTTTTCATTGTTTGAAACTACAAAAATTTTGTGGACACAGCTTCACTCAAGCGAATTATTTCCATCGAACCATATTTTATTTACCTAATAATATTGAAAAAATCACTTTCATCTTTAAAACAACTTCAGCTTAAAATTCTTCACAAACAACTCTCTTGGATTCAGTTGAAATGAAAACTGTATGTCGAGTTTAAACATCAAATGCTTTTTATATTAAATCTCTCAGTCATTCGTGAGAACAGGTTTGGATGAGGCAAATTTGTGCAAATAAAAGTAATAAAATCTCTCAGAATTTAAAATTTCCTGGAGAGATTTTTATATTGAAATTAATCTAGAGTAAAAACATCGTTGCCATATTTCACAAATTGCTTCTGTCATGTTCTATCTACATAAAACTTGAATGCAGTCGACAACAACTTTAAATTTATATCCAATTTAGAATGAGAACAATTTACAAACATGATACAAAATATTCTTTATAATTTTAATCAAACTTTGGATTGCCAGCCGCAAAAGTTGTGATGAAGGTTGTGTGATCTTCAACAGAAAGCCAGAAAGTGTTAACTGTTGGATCTTGTTCCATGTCTTTCTTCCATGTTAAAAAATTTTTGAATCGATTTTCATCCCATTCAAAGGTTCCTTTAATAAGGTTGGGCACGATGTCAATCCGTTCAATCCATGGCCAAATCATGTAGTCAACAAATCCAGGCCTACTTCCATTGAAGAATTTTGTTCCACGCTTTTTCAATTGGTTTTCATAATACTCCAAAGCATTGAAAAACTTAGTAACGTTTTCAGGTGTGCTGTGTTTATTGCAGAATAAAATTAAACTTTATATTTTCTCTTTATTTCAATATTTTTGTATGAACTCACCTTTCTGCTGTTCCTCGAAGCATCGCATAAAAAAGTGAAATAACTCCATTGTAACGATCAAGAAGAATGTTATCCAAAGCTCTCTGATAAGAATCACTGCTTTTTAATGAACTGTTTGGCTGATAATCAACCAAATAATCTGAAACTATCAATGATTCAACTAGTGGCTCGGGTTTATTTGGTATCTCAAGTGTGGGAACTTTAGCCGTTGGCGATTTTTCTATAAACCATTCAGGTTTATCTTTTGTATTCACAAAAACAGTATGATTCGGTATTTTATTCGCTTCAACTATAAGTTGTGAACGATGACCGAAAGGACAAAATTTCATTGTATATAATCGAAGTTTTCCATCGTCTGGAAATGTTGGAGCTTTCGAACCTTAAATGTGTTACATTAAATATGTTTAGTTATGTCTGGGATGAAAACGAATAACAAATGATAATAGCACAATATGGATAAGATTAGTGAATATTTTAGATATTTTATGAATCACATGTTCGACAAAATTATTATAATAAATTTATATGTTTAATTATATGCTAGTATACACTTTTATTCTTGTTACGTACTTACCTTTTGTTAAGTGAGGCATGATGTTCAATAGAAAATTGTTAGAATTGTGAAGATTTTAGTTATAAACAAGAAAGAAGAATGAATGAGAATTACTTCACATTGAATTTATAAGTATATAAATTTCTTATCAGAACGATTTAACTGTGTCGAATTTAAATGCTGATAAGTGTTCGAATAAATTTATAAAACCAATGATGATTATTTTATTTCTGTTTGACGAGAAATGGTTGAATTTTATGTTATTCAGCACTTTTTAATTATCATTTTGTTGTCAACAAATACCTATTTACTAATTGAATATTTTGAAAAGTCTGACACATTCAATTAATTCATTTAAAGTAGAATTTTCTTGAAAATCTCATTAAACTCCTTTATTATGGATTTTTCTTCTAACACCTACACATATTTAGGAAGATTATGATAATTGATTATCTTATCATTCATTAAATTTTCCGTCTCACGATGACATTATGGAATGTGTGAAGTGATCTTCTGACGACATATTTCACATGCACAAGCAAATTTTCAATTTTACGAACATATTTTTATAAGACTTCGTGGCTGCTTATTAACTGATTGTGTATTAAAAATAAAATTAGTAGGTATGTATTAAAAAATATTTACCTAATTAATTGCATCAACGAAATTTTATTTAGGTATGTAAAATAATTTTAACACAAGAATGCTTTCTTCTGAAAATTTAATGAAGGAACATCTAAAAGAGATAATGTTATGTATTTAAATAAATGATTAGCAAAAACCTTTTAACAATATATTGGTTTCGTTTAATGGTTTCGTATTTTGATTTATGTAAGATAACAACTCTGAATCATAAAATAAATTTTGCTATCAATTAGCGTGTGTAAAAACATGATAAAATTTCTTTTTTTTGTTTTTTTTTTGATAAGAAGATGCAGCAATCATTTATTTTTGTTCGTTTAGAATTTACATAAAAAACACCAAATAAAGTAAATATGCGTGTTTATGTTTCCGGGCATTCCTTGTCGTCAATAATCTCGTATTCTGTTGTTAAAAATATTATATAATTTTAATAGCAATTAATCTTTTTTTAATCAAAAACTAAACTCACTTGTTTTCGTTTCACATGAGTAAACTCTTACAGCACAATCATTGCCGAAGGTCAAAGCTTTTCCTGTTCCAGTAAGAGGTTTAGCACAAACAGGCGCATAATTGTAAGGACATGCTTCGTCACACTTCTCTTCTGCCTGAGCGAAAGCAAACAGAGCAGCTAAAGCTAAATAGAAAAGAGATTGATAAACTATCCACACTGATATTAATTATAATTAATTATTATCTACTGACCCAACATAAGAACAAATAAAATTTTCATTTTTAAACTAAGAATAAACACGACTTCACTGTTTTAGATTAAAATTTTGACTGATTATCAAAAACAGGCCAATGTGATGTTATATACTTCGCTTATGTGTCATACATCAAACATTTATCAAGACTAAAACGAATGGAACTTTTAACAATGCCTCTATTTGCAAACCAAACAAGATGGAACGAAGCGTCACTTAGTCAGACAGAATGTACCTATATGATCTTCTCGGGGATTTGGGAATTTGAGTGTATAATTAAACTTAATTTTCAAATGAAATCCGCTATTAATTGAGACTCTTACATACATAGATAACACGTATTCATTCTGTTAAATCAAAGTATGAACAAATACTTTGATCATGACCTCCATTATGTAAGAAGAAGCTTTTAGAAACTTGAAGTCCTTTTTTATTATTTCACGAAAAAGTTTCCATCACACGAGAGTTAAACAACGAATGAGGTTGTCCCAATGGGTCTTAATCTTGGTCTAGATATAAAATCTAATTATTTTATAGTCAGACTAAAAGCATTTATTGCGGAAATGGTTTAATTAAAGTATGAATGTCAGTCATATCGTGCAAAAAACTATAAAAGTCTCCCTATCATGTAATGGTTAAGATTTGAATAAATTTTAACTATTAAAAATACAGAAAATCGAAATATTTTAAAACTTTTCAGCCAGATTTTGTTTGAACGTTCAACCAGTCACAACAAATATTTATAAATAAAATCAAAATGATTCAAGGATATTTCCTTAGGTTTTTTGTATTAATTTGTGTATATTCGAATGTCCATGGTGGCGGCGACAGTTTTTCGATGAGTATTAGAAGTCTAAGTAGTACACCAAGCCCATCAGGAACGCTTATAATTTTCACGGCTGGATTTTATTTGATGGAAGGAGATGATTACCCAATATGTCCAAGTTGTGATGATAAAAGCGCTCTGTGTACTTCATGTTTAGGTGATGTTCCGACAAATAAATGTAAATATGAAATTGTTAACAATCTTGCCGGTGATATTCTGGGATGCTGTGTAACAGAGTGTGGAGTGAGTATTATAGATGCAAG